AATCCCAGAATGGTTTGGGTTGGAAGAGACCTTAGAAACCATCTCATCCCACCCCCTGCCATGGGCAGGGACACCTTCCACCAGCCCAGGTTGCTCCAAGCCCCGTCCAACCTGGCCTTGGACACTTCCAGGGATGGGGCAGCCACAGCTTCTCTGGGCAACCTGTGCCAGGGCCTCCCCACCCTCAGAGCAGAGAATGTCTTCCTAATATCTCACCTAAACCTGCCCTCTGTCAGTTTGAGCCATTCCCCTTGTCCTGTCACTGTATACCCTTGTAAGAAGTTCTAGGCAGGGTTCTAGTTCAGATTTAGATTTGTCTTCTTGTCATGGATCCCATGCAGGCCTAGGACTGACAGTGCTGGGATTGCAGTGGGATATTTTTCTATGTACCATTTGTTTGTTGTTCACTTTTTTTTTCCTTTGGTAGTATTTATGTTCCTCAAATCCAGGGTCATTGGTCATACACCAGCAAACAGCACTGCCTTCTCCTCTCTGGCAGGACTTCCCAAGGCTCAGCATTGTCACTGGGTGTTCAGTCTGCTCTGTACATGCAGCCCCTATTGCCAAGCACTGGCTTTTCCATGGAGGCTCCTGTGCAAAGGCTTTCTGCAGAAAATATCCCTGCCTTGTCTGAGTTATGGCACTGATGTTAAGCAAGACTGTTTCTTTCCTGGCACCAGCACTTGTGTTTCGCAAAGGGCTTTTGCTCAGGTATTTAATTTTCAACATCAATTTTCTATCCAAAGTAAGATTCCCCAAATAAACCCAAGGATCTGTGGATTTATTTTTGTGCTTACTGGACTGCAGTATTGTGACCAACCCCAAGGAGAACTCAGAGGAGCAACAGTAAAGGGAAGTGGAGTAAATAGTCACGGTTCAGGTTTGCTACAAGGGTCACAAACTCTTCCAGCTGTGTGTGCCAAACCTCTGGTCAGCAGCAGGTGGGCATTTGTGTAGCTCTACCCACAAGTGCAATACTTCTGTCTGAGCTGAAATCTGTGCATCAAGTGTGGATGTGCACAGGGAGCACAGAAATTGTTAATAGTTGGGCAGAAAATAGAGCTTTAAATCCAGAGGGTGGGTTTGCTCACAGTCACTGTCAGTGCCTGCTCAGGTCCCACCCTCCCTGGCTGCTTCCTTGAGGTGCCCTGGGGCTGTTTCAGAGGGAGTGGGGTGTTTACAAGCAGTTAATTGTCAGTGCACTGGAGGTATCTTGGCAGCCCTGGTTGATGGCTGGAACGTGGAGTGCAGACATTTGACCCAGGACTGGGGTCAGACCTAACTGAGCCCTTAGACCTGGTCTGAGAGCCGGGTGAGGGAGCTCCTGCAGCCCTGGCCCAGCTAGAAGATGCTCTTGGCCATCACTGTGGCTGTGCCAGGGACATCCTGTCAGCAGGAAAAGCTGAATCTTCTGCTTCTCAGAAAATATAATCTCCAGATAATTTCTCAGTTCCTTTTGTTCCCTGTTTCATTTCTGGACTGCTCAAGCTGAGGAAGTTGCAGCCTGAAATGAAGAACCCATTCAATGTAAATGTGTGTATCTATTTTGTGCTATAGGAAGACTCAGTTCAGTGAACCCAGGCCACTGGCATTTCATAATTTCCTCTTGCTCCAGCAGGTAAGGGATTAACCCTTTGTTATTCCTCTCTAAAGGAACAGAGAAAAAGATATACTCTGCAAACCCCCTGATTTAAAAAAAAAAAAAATAATGCATTGGGTTTTTAAAGAAATATTTTATTGGAACCATAAGGTTTCTTTTTTTGAGAGAGAAAATTTGAAATCCGGAGTTTATTTTTCCTTCAGTGTCTCTCCTCAGAACCAACAGGAATGGAGATATTTTTTTTTCTCTCTTGTGTTTGTGCCTACTTATTAAACACACATGTGGCCTGGATTCCTTGTGTAGGTGCAAAGAGGTTTGGAAAAAAAAAGAAAAAGAAAAAAGGTGTAACCCAGTCCCTTGACCTGTCTCTTTGCCCTTAGGACTCCTTCGAACAGCTGTGAGAAAAAGAAAAGTGGGGAGGAGAGGTACAAAAACGAGGCAGTTTAACAAGCCAAATCCAGATGTTCATTTCATACACACACCCTGAACAGCTTTTGCATGGTTTATTTCGTTTGCTGAAGCCATTTTTCACCAGCCTGTTTTCTCAGCTGGGAAACTTCTGGTGTAGTGTTTTCAAAAAAATATTGCATTTGGCATTACAAGAAAACAGAGCCTTTAAGACATTAAAAGGACAATATCCTTGTTTGACTTGGCCCAGGGAAGCAGGGCTATAGGAATTTTAGATTTTTGTACCACCCAAAGAATAGGTAAAAAAATTTTCCACTCTTAAATTCAGTTTACATGGGAATTTGAGAGTTGATTTAGCTTGATTTTTTTTTCCCTTTTAGAAACTTCTCTGAGGACTTTGTGTTTGTGTAGATGGACTTTATTACTATGAAGGAGGAATAAGCAAAGTGATACCAATTGGCTTGCTTCTGGATGGTGATGTACCATGGTTCAGAACTCAGACTGATGCTGAATGGACCTTATTTTTGTTTGGTGAGGAGCAGCTCATGACTTGCTCATTCACACCAACATCCACATAAGCCAGCCAGACAAATTTGAAATTATTTAATACTGGCACAATTTGTTTTTCTTTACCATTCATCTCAGCTGTGTAACAGCACTGACTGCAGGGAGGATGGAGACAGAACAGTGCCTACACTGAGTTTAGAGGTACCCCAAAGACTGGCAGGTAAGATCAGGTGCAAACAAGATGTATAGAAATACTGCTACCACTTAGCTACTCAAAGGATATATTGCTCTTAGAAACTCAGTGTAAAAGCCCAGCTCCACTGCAGCCAGTGGCTGATTTGCAGTTTGAGGTCCTTCCCAACCGGGTGAATTCATTGACAGCTCTGGTTGTCACTGCAGGACAGTTGTGTCACCCTTAACTCTGCTCTCTCCAGACTCCCCCCACTGTGGCTCTGCCAGGAAGAGACACTTTGTGTGTCAGGGGAATTCCTTGGCAATATTGTTGCCCTGTTTTCTGGAGATGTGAGAGCTAAGCTGGCAAAGCTGCTCTTTGTCTCCAGAGCACATCCATGCCCTGGCTTTGTGGCAGAAAGGAAGGGAGTGAGGTTTCCTCACTTTCTGAGGTGCCAGTGGGTCAGTGCAGGAGTGGTGCCCGTCATCCACTGATGATGCCATGTGTCTGTGCAGCTCCTGGCACATCTCTGCCTCTTCCCCAATGCAAGAGCCATGGCCTGTCATAGATGATGATGCTCGCAGGAAATCAAAATCCCTGCCATGAAAGAACAAAGGGCAGACTCTGTTTTCAACAATACTTTTTTTCTCTCCTGGTTTGTAGGAGTGAAAGAAAAAGTTTTCATTCAGAGGACGACATTGGGGTTGAGGGAGGAGATGGGGATTTCAGAAAGTAATTGTGTATATCAATGCAAAAAATATAATTGGTCCTCTCCGAGTCATGGACTAGTTCAGATTGAACCTGGCATTTGTAGCTCATCTGGCCCCTGCTTAAAAGAGGGGCTGCTTCAAAGGGAGAGAAGGTTTCTCAGGGCCATGTTCTGTCAACTGTTAAAAATCTGCAAGGTTAGGTGTTTTGCCATCTTTTTGTGCAACCTGTGCCAGAACTTAACTGTCCTCCTTTCCATTTATTTTTTAATGAAGTAAGGATTTGTCTTGTTGCAAATTGTGTGTTGCCTTTCATCTTTTCACTGTGTGTATCTGAGAGAAGTTGGACTCGATCCTCTGTGTAGCCATCTATCAGGAGTAGAAGGCACCAGTTAGATTCCCTTCTTTAATCTTTCTCTTCTTCAGGCTGAACAAATTCCCCTCCCTTACCTTTTCTCATGTGTTTTGCTCTCTTGATAGTCCACTGCTGGACTCGATCTAATTTGTTGATGTTCTTACACTCTGAGGCGGGAAAACAATCCAAAAGTGAAACTGGGCTTTAGTTGTGGTTAGTATTTTGTATTAATTATCTACTCTGTTGACATCAGATGCTCAAGCCTTGGTCATAACAGTAATATAATGGCTGTCATTCCAGTGCTGGGAACACCAGGGTGTACCTGCTGGGCCTCCTTGGAAGAGCCTGTTTCCTGAACACACTGTGCCCAGGCCATCCTGTCCCATTCCTCTGGCTCTCTGTGATAGCAATACAGTTAATTGTCTTTTTTCTCATTGCTGAACTGACTGGTTTGTCCTGGAGACGCTGAATTTGTTTTTTCTTTCCCAAAAGAAGTGCATACATTCCTATGGACTTTTACAAAGGAATCAGAGACATCTAGGAAACAGGAGTAGAAAGCCCTCAGTTTCTTCTTCTATGAATAATTTAGTGCCAAGTTAACTGAAACATTTGAGAAAGAGATTTTTGGTGCCTAGCTTCATTAAACCCTCTATCCCCAAATGGATTCTCTATCAGTGTCAGCATCCAACACTTCATCTTGTCCCAGTCACAGCAAAGGCCTTGTGGAAATGAAATGCAGGGGAAGGGAGAGGCAAACCAGATTATTGTTGCCATTAGGCGTGTCTGTGTGTGCACATGTGCTCTATAAACTTAGAGTGAGGGGGAGACAGAATCTGTGTGAAAGGAAGGAGCGCAGCCCAAACTGTCTCATCCTTCCAAAACCAGCACTGGTTGGGGTTTGGGGCCACACTGCTGTGACAAAGGGGGTTGTGCCACACTCCATCCCCCTCCTCTGGAGCAGGAGTTTTACTCAGAGCATTGTTCTCGTCCACTGAGCTTTTCCCAGCACGGGGAGTGGGACCCCCTTCTCTTGGCAGAGGTCCCTGTCAGATCTGTCTCTGCAGCTCATTCCGTGGGCAGGGCCTCCATCTGCTGCTTGGCAGGGAGGGGAACTTTCCTCTCAAATGTTTTCTCTCTCCCTCTGTCTCCCCCTGTTTAAGGTATACCCTTTGGAAATTGACTTCCAAGATTTATTTTTGCACAGGGGACATACTTTGTTTTACATGCTCTGGCTTTCTTTTCTTTCCACAGGACACCACCCCCATGCCCTGCTTGTCCTGGCAGAGGGAGAGGATGCTGTTTGCCTGAACGTTCCCTTCAGTGTGCAGCAGGTCTAAAGATGTGACAAGTACACATGCTAATCCCTTTCCCTTGCAGTTAATAGAATAACACAGCTGGGAAGGTTTACATTGGGATCTGACACTCACTCCAAGCTCAAGTTAAGGAGATGGGGTTGGACATTGCATTTCAGATCAGATCATTACTGCACAAACTCACCTTCCTACTCAGCATCAATTTTCTCCTGGTACCCTAAACCCCATTTGTTTTGCTAAGAATGTCCCCCTTCCCCTTCTATTCTCCTTTTGAGAGCAACATGTAGAGTTGGATACACCTTCAAAAGCTGATGTAGAATGAAATATTCCCCAAGAATCAGTGATGTTCAAGTGAAAAAGTGTCAACATTTTCCACTGTAACAACACCATTTGTTTTGAAATGGTGACTTTTTAAACATTTGGCATTTCTGAGTGTTGAAATATCATGTAAGAAAATAATTCCCACCAAAATTATATACCTTCTTAGAAATATTAAATTGATTTCAGTAAAAATTCCATATTACCAGTTTTGTCACGTCTAATCTGACTGTTCATGTTTTTGATTCTGTTTCCTGTTTCTTTGTAGCCACTTTGGTATGTCCTCTGCCATTCTGTGTGACATAGCCCACTTGGGAATTTGCAACCCTGAAGATTTGCCCCTTACAAGATTCCTGCAGGAAACACACAGAAGAACAAAACTTTGGATTATGCCTGTGATGGGAAAAGCTACAGTGATGACTGACTGGAAAGGCTGATCCTTCTCACACCAAATACCACTGCCTTGCCACCAGGTATGCACCATTTCACAATGTCTGTCATAAGAACCTTCTGCCAGCTCTCCATGAACCCTCAAGATCAAGATTCTGATTACTAGGAAGCCCTTAAAATTAAGGTTTTGAGAGTATCTCTGTAGTGAGAGGAGTATCTGGGATCTGTTCTTAGCTACACGTGGGCCTCAGAGTATAAACCTATTTTCTACAAATTTAAAAAAAAAAACAAACTCAATTCAGTAAACAAAACTTTATGTTAATTAATGAAAATAAGATCAAAAATGCAATTAAAAATGTATTTTTCACTGAAAAAGACACATTTTTACCAAACTTACTAGCAATGAAAATACTCAATTTGTACTGGAAACTGAGCCTATAAGGTTTTCATAACCACAAATACATTGTTCGTGGGAAGCACTCAGTGACCTGCTTTCTGATTAGAGAACTAACATTTGTGCCTGAGAATCACTGCCTGCCTGTTTCTGCTCATTTCTTTCAAATTGGGCAGTTTCAGAACTGCTTTTTCACTTTGCTTTCGATACTTCTCCATAAATTTCAGAGCAGAGAGGGTGTGTACCTCTGTCAGCCTGGGACCTTCCCATAACTGTGACAACTCACTAATGCCTCATTCAGAAATCAGGATCTCAAATTCAAAATTCAGGATGTTCCTCCCCAGCCTGGCAACAGCTCTGAGGTTCATTCATGCTGCACAGACCATGCAGAGGAGGAAAAAGAGCAAGCTCAGTTCAGAGAAGCTCAAAGCTTCAAATTCAAGTGAAAGGTCCATCTAGGTCAACGAAGAAGGGCTTCCCCATCAGGAGCATGAGGAAGACCTGCCTAAACTAGAGGCTTGGAGAAGCTCTGATCTGATTTTGGAGGTGCCTTTCTTACTCCAGTGTAGAAAAACCTGAAACAGCAACATTTTGACCCAAATTTGTGAGTCAGGGGAGTCCAGGTTGCGATTCCTACAAGGACCAACATCCCCTTAAATTCTGGTGGATGTTCAGTCTCCTTATTTGGGGCAAGGTCTAAACGCTTTTGTCATCCTGACCTTTACTCTTTGTTGCAATTGCACTTCTGACTCCTTGACCAAGAGCTCTCACAGGGCAGAGCAATTAGTGCCCATCACAAGGAAAGCTTTTGCAACATGGGTGATTGCCCACAAGAAACACGGTTGAGACCACCAACAGTTTTATTTGTTTTTCTTCCAATTTCTTCTGATTGAGAAGCTCATGAGACACATCTCATTTCCCTGGAGGTCCCCAGGGAAGCAGTGGTCAGACAGTCCCTTTTCCAGCCTGCTTTGGGCAGTGCTGGTGGTACAGCACTGCTCTTGGGTCGCTGTGCTGGGGGATCTCTCAGCACAGGCAGTCCCACAGATTATTAAAGTCTGCCTAATTGAAGTCTGATTCGATGCAACTGGCAGCTTATTTCAGCCACCAGACTTTTTGTTTGATGGTAAATGCTTTAATTCACCATTGCTCAGAGGTGATTTGAACAAGCTACCCAAAGAAAAAATGGTTTAGTGTTCTGAGCTGCAGGCTGTGAAGAATGAAACAAGGATCTGTCCTATTGGAGGTGGTGCTAGAGAGGCTCCATTATTGGGGGGAACCCCTGTCCTGGCCTGTTTGAAAATAGCCCCCTGCTCACTGCAGTGTCAGGTGGAGGGTTTCAGATCTAGATCTGTCTGCAGACTTCAGTTTAAAAAGTTCAGATGCCTTTGCACTTCTCTGCACTAGGGTATCACAGAATCATAAAATACCCTGAGCTGGAAGGGACCCACGAGGATCATCCAATCCAGCTCCTGGCCCTGCACGGGACACCCCAAGAATCCCCCCATGTGCCCGAGGGTGTTGTGGGTTGTGCCCACAGGTCCTGCCCAGGGCAGTGGGGAACATCCACATGGCATCAGCCTTTGCTACTCTGAGCAGGAATTCGTATCCCTTGGGATCACACCCCTCCCTGTTTCCTCCAGTTTGAGGGAGGCCAATAATTTCCTCGTGGCCATTTAACCTCAGGAGGCCTTTTTGCCTTCCCGTCTCCTGCCCCACACAGCCTGAGATGCTCTCACCAGCAGGCTGAGCTGAGGCTTCTCTCATTTCCTCCCTGTAATTCCCCTCTTGGATGGGAAAGGCTGGGAATAGATTAAACCCACCTCTTCCTCTGGGGCTGCACTATCAGTCCTTGCTGTGCACGGGAACAGAACAAGTCCCACTGAGTTCTGGGGCTGATTCAAACAGAGGCAGAGCCTTCACTTTAACTGCACCTTGATAGGAATATCTCAGAGTTCTGCCATGTAAATAAAATATGCCAGCACATCTACCTTCTAAAACTCTCTCTGCTGTAATTAGGACTTGCCTGTACTGATATTAGTTGTAGTGTTTCCACCAAGTTTGGTTTGGTCTGGGTTATCTTAGAAATGAGTTTGGATGGTGTCATTTGTGGTTCTTTGTCATCTTCTTGAATTCAACCTATTTTCATAAAAGAAAGATTTTTGCTTCCTCAGGCCATAGGTGCAGCACAGACCTGATTCCTGTCACCTCATAAGCCACAAACAGTTACAAGATCATGTCCACTACTAGTTGTAAAATTGTTTTTTATAAAAATGTCCCAATTATCCCCAAAGTGTGTTTTGATGGTGGGGCTAAGGCACAGTGTGAATGCCATTTCATTTAAAGCACACAATTAAACACATGTGTGTGTAGATTATAGAACTGTTTGGGAAAAACAGCTTGAAGATAAACATCCAATGAGCCATTTGTCTGTTAAGATAGCCTATGTTTATTCTCATTCCAGAGATTGTGTGTCTGATCAAACCAGATTTATAATAAAACATTCAAAATATAGGTTATTTTTGGACTAGGAGAATAAAGTTTTCCTCTGCCACAATGCCTGCAGAAGGAGCTGGCAGTGCCAGGGAACACGATGTTCTGGGCCTCCTGCTTATCACAGTTGTCCCATAGGCCTCTTTCATTTCTTGTTTGTTTGTCTCTGTCTCTCTCTTGTCCTACATTTAGATTTTAAGCTTCTTGGACAGAGTGTGATTTGGCATTCATTGTTCCAACAGTCAGAGATTTATTCCAGAGGAGCTCTGGATTTGGGACCAAATGATGATGATAATAGGGATTGAATGTAAGACACAAAAGAAAGCTCCACAGCTGAGCCTGAATTTGAAAATGCAACATTATGGAAGGTTTCTAAGAAAGCACACATTTTGCAGAGCTGGGTTTAGTTCCTCTTTCAGTCTGTGATGAATTCCAGGGAAGAGGTGACCACACACTAGCAGAGTTTCCTCCTGGTGACACCTCTGTGAGGACATGGCAGAGAACATTGGGCAACACACTTATATTTCATGTGACCTCCCTTTGAGTCATTTGTGCTGTTGGCACCAGAGCATCTCCCATCCCATCCCATCACTTGCCTTCTGAGAATTTAGTTGGTTTTTAGGTTTCTTTTTCCTTGGCACACTTCTCCCTCCCTTCACCTGGTGCCAGTCCTGCCTCGTTCCTTGGCACCTCTGTGGTACCTGTTTGGATTTCAGTGCCATTTGCAGAGCCCAGTTGTGCCCCTGGACACAGTCCTGGGCAGAGAGGAGAGGGAGGTGGGTTAGAGTGGCATCATTCTTGGAAGACCAGCAGGAGATGGAAGGTGTCCATGAATTCAGGGCTGTTTTTCAGGCAGACTAAATTCTACCTGTGTTCTCGTGCCTAATGTTATCCACAGGATATTCTGGACCTTCAGGGTTGCCAAACCAATAGGAAACCAAAGCTGAAGTAGGAGAATTAGATGGAATACAGCTGTTGGAGGCCACATGAGTCCTCACAGTCATGGAACTTACTGGCACAGCTCTGTGAATAATGGGCTCTTTTCGTGCTCTGACAATTCTGAAAACATGCAGCAAAATATTTGTGAAGAACTTTGAATGTATTCAAAACAATCTGTCTTTAGAAAGTGTGTGAACTGAAAAGCTGTCAGCCTGCCTTCCTTAGCCAAATGAGAAATTTACTTTAATTTTTGTTCATTTAGTTGGCATTGTTAATTTAACTTCTTTTAAGCTTTAAATAAAAAACCCACAAAGTTTAAAATTATGTTTGAAAAATGCAGATATTTCCTTTTGAAAACTTGAAAACTAAACATCTAAATGTTCTTGCACTGGTTTTATAGTTTGAGAAGGGTATTTTAAGCCACTAGGTTTTGCAGCAAGTAGTACAGAGCTGAGGAACATTTTGTTTGATCAGAAAGGAGATAT